ATAAGAGGTTGAAATCAGATCAAAGCCAGAAGGATTAAGCTCTGACAAACATTTCTGTTCATTTTTGTTACATTTTTTATAGAATTGGAATGTTTTGTGTAACAAAATGCTTTTTCTGTGTAATAATAATTCAAAACTGACGCTTCAAATCAGAAAGAGCTTTTTTATTGCCAAATATGTTTGCACATACAAGGAATTTGTTATAGTGTCACAAGCTTCCAGTACACGGAGACAACAACAACACACAGATAATAAAAGTGAGATGTGAATAAATTTCAAACCAAAAAAAAAAAAATCTAAACCTTTACAAAAAGTTGTCTTTGAGAATGTCTAAATATATATCCAAACCCACAACTTAATAAAAATAAGAATTTAGGTCTAAAAACAGTTAGAGAATTTATTGGCCTTTTATATAGAGCTATATAGGAATCTATGGGCTAAACCATGGAATTGCAGATGTTTTTCTTATTTTACTCCGACCAGATGGCACTAATCTGACTTAAAAAATTGGATTTTAAAGGCATCGACTCTATTTTAACATGAAATACTGCATTAATTGAAAAGTAATATAAAAATATATTTTGAATTTTTTAAAAATTATTTTCAATGTGCAGAAATTCATCATAATAATTGTATAAATATTACTTAGTGCCATGAAATTATCTCAAAATACATAATACAAAATATTATTGAACAAAAATATATTACATTGATTATACTGGGGAGAAAAAAAGTTAAATTTCAGGTGTCCGGTCACTTTTGACCGTGAAGATCACAAGTGTGACTCCCAAAGGAGGAGCACCAGAGAAAACTTGTGTTGATGGTAAAGATCCACTATCCAGTCTGTACTGTAGAAAACGCAGAATATCCGACATGGAGCAAGCAGCCGGGCCGATATAAACATCACGGCACCATTTCACAAACACTCCCCATTTTAGAGCATACAAACGCCTCTTGGAGGGCGCCCGCGCCTCCGAGAGTGTGTCGAGCACACCGGAATGCAAGGCGCTCAGCTCCTTTGATACCCCCTGAAGCAGCCACACATGAAGGCTCCATAACCAGACCGTTCCGTGTGGTTCAGGTGCCACACCGAGCCGCTCGCTTGAGACAACAGATCCTTCCTGATGGGGATCGGAGGAAACGCGTACAGCCTGGCTGCTGGCCAGTGCGATGTCAGAGCGTCCCCTTCCAGCGGGGAGGGAGACAGGGAGAAGAACAGCGGGCAGTGCGCATTCTTGCTCGTGGCGAACAGATCGACCCCAAATAAAATTTGGGCCTGCCCAAATCAAGCAGGCCTAATCGTCTGAACCGACTCGGGGTGCAACCTCCACTCTCCTTGAGGAATCCCTTTCCTTAAAAGCATGTCCGCCCCGCGGTTCAGGAGACCAGGTACGTGTGCTGCTTTGATGGAGAGAAAGTGACGGTCCACCCATAGCAGGAGATTCGCTGCCTGCTTATACAGAGCCCTGGAGCGTACGCCTCCTTGGTGATTTATGTACGAGACCACAGACATGTTGTCGGTGCGAATCAGTACATACCGCTGTTCCAGCTGCAGCCAAAAATCCTTTAGAGCTAATAACACTGCTTCCAGCTCCAAGCGGTTTATGTGCCACCGGCTCTGAAGTTCTGACCACAGCCCTGAAGCCAGCATGCCCTTGCACACTGTTCCCCAGCTGCGTGTCAATGCATCCGTCGTGACCGTCACCAAGCCCAGCTGAAGAAATCTGGGTTGCACCACGGCTTCAGAGCTTCGATGCAGCCACGGAAGACCATGATGCACAAACGGCCCGAAGCCCATGCTGTCCAAGGGACTCGAGATTTCAGCCATAATTGCAGCGGGCGCATATGTAGTAAGCCCAGATGACATACCACTGAAGCAGATGACATGAGTCCCAGCGGCCTCTGAAATTCCTTCAAGTGAACAGAGCTGCCCTGTCTGAAATGGCGCAGGGAAGACAAAATGGCTGTTCCCGAGAGGCGGGCACGCATCTCCACCGAGTCGAAGCACACTCCCAGATATGTTATAGACTGACGCGAGAATGCTTTTCTGCATGTTGACACATAGCCCAAGGGACTCCAAGTGATGAAGCAGCGTGTCTATATGGCTGACTAGCGTGTCCCGGGACTGAGCTAAAATCAGCCAATCGTCCAGATAGTTGAGAACGCGCATTCCGCTTGCTCTGAGAGGGGAAAGTGCTGCATCCATGCACTTTGAGAAAGTACATGGGGCCAAAGCCAGCCCGAACGGGAGAACAGAGTATTGGTACGCTGTGCCCTCAAAAGCAAACCTCAGAAAGTGTCTGTGATGCGGTGCCATCTGAATGTGGAAGTACGTGTCCCTTAAGTCCATGGACACAAACTAGTCCCCAGGGCGAATTTGCGCCAGGATCTATTTCAGCGTTATTATCCTGAATGGACTGAGATCCAGAATCGGGCGGAGTCCCACGTCTCTTTTGGGTACCACAAAATAGCGGCTGTAAAACCAGCTCTCCAGCTCACTTGGAGAAACTCTCTCTATCGCTCCTTTTTCGAGCATACTGCATACCTCTTGTCTCAGAACCAGGGTATTTCGAGGCCTGTATTTCTATAACCTATATTTCTATAACCTATAGATTTCTATAGCCGGTGTGGGCGGCGGCTCTGCACTGCTTTGAGGCGGGACGAGCGGCACCGCATTGACTGAGTGAGGAGGAAAGAGCTCTTTTTGTGAGAATGTATGCATTTTTATTGAATGAACATCCAACACACAAACATTCCAACACATGAACTTGTGATGCTTGGGAGCCGGGCCGCTCGCGCACTCTCCTCCTCTCTTCAGACCTTCAGTATGACAGCTTAGCAGCTGGCGGCGGGCAAGAGTCACGTCGCGGGGTCCTCCGCTGGCCGTGGTGTTTCCTCCTGGGACCCCCACGCCTTCCTCCGGACATCCGGCTCCTGGCGAGGAGCGTTAGCAG